AATAGTTAAGAAACCTTTAAAAAGTTTAACAAGTCAGACAATTTTGTGGTACTATTGTTGGAGAGAGAGAGAGAGAGAGAGAGAGAGAGAGAGAGAGAGAGAGAGAGAGAGAGAGAGAGAGAGAGAGAAGAAATTTAAAAAGAGGTTAAAAAAAGGTGTTGTTTCCAGAGAAATGCCTCTGCTCTAGGTGATATCAAGGGAAGCAATTGCTTTGGGAATGTTGTTTCTTTGCTGGACTATGGGGGAATCTAAGAAATTGCACAGCTTCAAATGAGCTTGGGTGGCAAGATGTCATTTAATTTCTTCCTTGAGCACTCTTGCTGCTAAGAATCTAGATGAGACAACTCATTATCAGATAGAAATAAGAATGGGATTTTGGTTAAGATTAGAAAGGTACTTGTTTGCAAATAAAGTCTTTAAAGTGTACATTTTAATGTTTGAAATTATTGACCTGAGGCTTATTGAGACTGTATAAATCATCTATAATTTCCTAACAGATTACTCTAATATTTAGGGAGGTACTTAAAGATGAAAAGTGTTTTTACTTACTCACAATCAGGCATTCATTCAATTTGCAATGTCTGAACAGCTTGATTTTTGTAACTGAGTGATGTAATCACTTGTGATTAAGATTATCCTGCACTTTGACTATAGCTGTAGGATCTATGATGGTATCATTTACTTATTTGATGATCTAAGAAAATTTTGAGATGAGTGAAATAGATACCTAGTGAAGTTGAAGGGTGATGCTCTTTCTAATTTCATCCTATACTGTAATGAAGATTATATTGCCCAGTGTATTTAGTTTTATCACTTATATATATTTCACATAAGATAAAACAGGAATTATTTTAATTATGTAATCAAAATAAAATTATATCATTCCTCTACTCCCTCTTCTCCCTCCAAATTTTCCCTTGACCCCTCAAACTCATGACCTCATTTTCTTCAATAATTACACTTACACAAAGACATATATAAATATAATCTGCTGAATCTATTAAATGTTGCCTGTATGTTTTGAAGGAGTAGGAAATGGAGGTAATTAATGGCTTCTGAGAGAGGAATTGTCTATGCTAGGCATGAGTCCTATAAGTGGTTATCCAATACCAAGTGTAAGTGGATAATGAATATCAACTGGTTAGACATATATTTTGTTGGTAATTTATTTTTTAATAAGACTTCAAGTACACTGCTTAGGTACTGATTAGTCTAAGCACTGTAAGGCTGTGATTTGTTTTGTAGAGAAAAAACATGTGCTAGATAATCTTTATTTAGATTAGAATTTCTATTGCCTAGAGACAAATAATGAGAAACATATTTGTCTAGTGTAATTATAGCACACCTTTGCAGATGATAATATCAAAATATAGGTGGCATTTTGATAATTAAAATAAGTAAAATGAGATTTATTTCATTGTAAATATATATGTATACGTATACATATATATGTGTGTGACATATATATTCTTCAAAAATATTTATATATATTCTTCATATAAATATAATGAAGCTTGATACAGTTGCAGATCAAAGGCAGAAAAGCTGCCATTTACTGAACATTTAGTACCACCCTTGAAGCTGAAACAGACATGTAGGTAAGTGATAACTTTAGAAAATTAATGTAATCAGAGCTGTGCTTTGAGCAAAAGTTCTGTTTGGCAGAAATTGTATTAGATTTTACTGAGAGAGAAGAAGCTACAAGTTGGGAAAGGGCTAAGGGAACAGCTTACACTGTCACAACACCAAACTTACAGTTTACAAGAGCATCTAGAACTCCTAAGAGTATCATGATTCTACAGACACTGGGGAGTTCTAATCCTTAGTTCTGTAGAGTGAATTGAAGCACACAAGAGGCACAGATAAATATGGTGTTTTTTAGTTTATCTGAGAAGACTAATTTAGAGTCATCAACTGTAGTTGAGAAGACAGAGGTTTTAGTAGGGCTTCCATATTTGGTTCTGGGTAGAATCATTGTATTGCTGGTGAACCCTTTAAGGTGAGACACATAATGGAGAATAGAAGATTCAGGAAAGTCTAAACTTGGAGCCCGTATTTTGGATCTATCAGTTACGAGATTCTGATTAAAGATAGCATTATTAAACCAGAGAATTTAGAGAACAAAGCAAGAAACCATATGATGCCTTGACTGGTCTTGGAAAAGCAAGTAAGAAAATGGAAGGGAAACAATGGAGTAGAGGAGCCAGTGAGAATTTGGAGAGTGTTATAGTAAGAAAATGTACAAATGGAAGGGTCTGTGGATAATGACGAATTCCTTAAAAGTCACAAGGAAGCAGTAACAAAAACATAAGAATGAGAGAATAGGTTTCCAGGGGTGGAAGTGTATTTGGCATCCGAAGAAAAACAGGAAATGGTGTCTGAAGAAGATGAACAGCTGAGTACTTACATTTATGATAGGGAGTCCTTTTGAGACACCATTTGAAGACATATTTTGTTTGAGAGCAGAGGACGCTGAATAATACAATGAATTTGATCAGAGTTAGGGAATGGACAGTTGGTCATGCATAAATTTAAAATTACAAAGCATTCTTAACTTCCTGTAAGAGTAGTTTAAACACCTGAAAAGGAGACCTGAGTTTGGGCAAAGAAGCAATTATTGGACTGAGGTAGCAGTATGAAAAACCTAAGATCCCTACAAAATCACCAGATAAAGAGCAGATTCAGTAAGAACAAGCCATAAAGAAATCAAACTATAGTCTGTGGGTTATATCAGAAAGCTCATCATAGTTTGTAATTTTGAAGGTAATTTCAGGTATGATTTATGTTTTAGTTAGTGTTACTAGAGCTGTGATTAGATATCAGGTCCAAAGCAAATGTGGGAGGAAATGGTTTATTTGGCTATTTCCACATCATTGTTCATCATTGGAGGAGGTCAGGACAGGAACGCAAGCAGGGCAGGAACCTGGAGGTAGAAGCTGATGCAGAGGCCATGGATGAGGGCTGGTTCCTGGTTTGCTTCTTCCTCTCTGATTACTCTAGCTTGTGTCAAACTGACATAAAACTTGTCAGCACATCTGACTATTTGTCAGATTGATGCACAAACACATCACTGTTAAGTCAGAACTTCCTTTCTTGTTCATTCCCAAGATCACATGTTAATAAAGACATCACGATTTTTTTTGGTTTTTTTGAGACAGGGTTTCTCTGTAGCTTTGGAGGCTGTCCTGGAACTCACTTTGTAGACCAGGCTGGCCTCGAACTCACAGAGATCCGCCTGCCTCTGCCTCCCGAGTGCTGGGATTAAAGGCGTGTGCCACCAACGCCTGGCAAGACATCACTATTTTAAACACTTTACAAACTTAAAAAGTTCCATAGCCTCACAGTTGAAATGTTTTAAAAGTTCAGTTTTATTTAAACCAGTCTCTTTTAAAGTCCAAAGTCTCCTAAACGTGAGCTCCTACAAAATAAAAAAAAATAATTTAAACATTTTCTTACTTCAATGGGAAGAACCAGGGAACAGTCACAATAAGATCAAAGCAAAACCCAATCCCACAGTGCAAATAACTCAATGTCTAATGCCTAGGGTCACTCGCATTCTTCTGGGCTCCTCCAAGGGGCTTAGGTTTTTAATTTTTTTCTAACTTTGCCCTCTACAGCATGCTCAGCTTGTCTTCTAGACTCCAGCTGGGTCCACTCCACCATTGCTTCTGTTCTTGGTGGCCATCTCATTTCCAAAATTTTGGGGTCTCTTGCTGCAACTAGGCTGAACTTTCACCATTAGTCTTTACTTGGTTCTCTTTAGGAACTCCAAACCTGCCACATGGTGCCAAGCCTCAGCTGCTCTCCAAGACCCTTTCAAGCCTCCAAAACAAGTACCGTCTGCGTGACTTTTACACTACCAAGTTCAGCTGCCAACATGTGGTACAACCTTGGCAGCCTCTGGAACACAGCTTCTGTGTGCTGACTGAGGAAACACTTTCCAGGTTTCACTTCAGTGATGCTGGTCTCTTGTTAATCACAGCTGATTCTTCAGTCCCAGCTGACCAGCATCTACATCCCAGCAAAACAAAGCTTTTACATCAATGGTTCTGTTCTCTTGTTAACCACAGGTGATGCTTCAGCCCCAGCTGACCAGCATCCATTGTTCCATCAAAGCAAAAGTTTTGGTCTCTTGTTCATCACGCTGCAGCTGATCAGACCCCATAGATTCTTCACAGATAATGGACCGGTTGAGTCTTTGCTTCCCTCTGAAACTCTCCCTGTCAGGCCTCCATTGTCTGCACTGCTTCAGAACATCCTTATCTTCCAAGCTCCTACAGAGCATCCCACAGAGTTCTCAACACTAATGGCTTTTCTAGCCCAGAGTTCAAAAGTTCTTCCACAACACTGCCTAGAACAACATCATCAGGTCTGTCACAGCAATAAGCTACTATCATGGTACCAATTTCTGTCTTAGTTAAGGTTACTCTGCTGTGGTGAAACACCATGAGCAAAAGTAAATTGGGGAGCAAAGGATTTATTTGGCTTACACTTCCACACCATTAGGGCAGGAACTAAAGCCAGGTAGGAAGTTGGAGGCAGGAGCTGATATGGAGGCTGTAAAGGAATTCTTCCTACTGTCTTGCTCCCCTCACTCTGAGGACTCTTGTTTGTGTCAAATTGGCATAAAACTAGCCAGCAAAGTTTATGTGCTTATAATAAAATAGAGAGAGCAGACACAAGACTTAAGGCTGGGGAACAGCACTTGGGGAAATCGCAGTATAAATATTGGAGTTATCAAAGGTATCAAAGTTGGTTGCTTCTTCCACCCTGATGAAGCAGCCACACATTGTGTTTGGGATTTGCAAGTCTTACAGATTTGAGCACTGCACAAGATAAAAAAGTAGACTTTTGTCTTTTATGAGGCATGAACTCTCAAATCATTTACTCACTCTGCATTATTAAAACATAATCAAACCTTCATGATAAGTAAGGGAAACAGGATGAATGTGGGTGAACCAGGAAAGGAAGTGAGAATCCAAAGAACCATGGGAACCAATTCTATGATTTTGTTACAGGGCTAGGGTTCTCTCATGGAATCTGGTGTTGAAGTATTGTTTCTTTAGGGCTGAGTGTGAACCAGTGCTAAAGCCCTTGCTTTGGACATAAAAGGTACTCACTACCACTTCTCCTCCACCCTGGGAAATAATTACTTATCTTTTTTGATTTTTTATTTAAATTAGAAACAAGGTTGCTTCACATGTCAATCCCAGTTCTCTCTCCCTCCCTCCACGCCCTCCCACCAACCCCTCCAGCCCCCCACCCAATCCCCACTCCGGTCCTCAGGGAAGGTGAGGCCCTCCATGGCAGATATCCAGAGTCTGCCATTTCATTCAGGGCAGGGCCTAGGCTCTCTTCCAAGAGTCCAGGCTGAAAGAATATCTCTCATTGTGGGACGGGCACTTCTAAATTGCATATCAAGTAGAGAGTAGCATAAGCTAATAGGTGTTGCTTAAGGATGATTTTTTCCTTCTCTCTTCTCGGCAGCTTTTAATTTCCTAGGTATCTATCAATTGGAAATTCAGGCCTTCATTGAGTAAATAGTTCTGCTATACACATTACAATATTTCAAGCTAAAATAATACACTATGGCTATTCTTATTTTTTCCTATATTAGTCATCTACAATCCTAGACAATAATATAACAAGAATGGAGTCTTCCTCCACATTTGGTATGTAATACCATAGGTACAGTTTTTTGTTGTTGTTGTTGTTGCTCACATTGCAATTTCCATATCAGGAACTCATAGCAATTATTTTTCAACAATGTCTTTATTGAGTAGGCCTTAAGTCCAACTAAAGAACTGTTGGTACCCTTCAAGGTATGCATACCATTATTGCATCCCTACAGCTAATGTGCTGTTGTGGCCATTGCTGTGGATTATAGGCATCATAGCTGTGTAGGACTGTTTCTTGCTTCCTTTTTTGGAAGCTTGTGTGTTAACTTCTGGTACCATGAAAGTCAGGTAAGATGCTTTCAGGTCAGATCGAGCTCAAGTACTCTGGTCCTGTATTTCAAGTGATGGTGTCTTCAGCAACAGGGGCTTATCTTATACCCTTAGAGGCAACCAAAGGCAACAACAGTAGCCTATAATATTTTATAAGCATAATACTTAACTACATTCTAAATATTAATCCTTATACACATCATCAAGGAAATATTTTTGTGCAACATATGAAGATTGTTATAGAAAACCACAACTAATCAAAATATAGAGACGTGGGACTCAGTATGATACATCTACAACAAGCTCAGGAATCTTTGTAGTAGAGTAGGAAAGAAAGATTATAAACCAGAGGAACAAAAAGTTTTCCATGAGATTTTCTTAGAACTGTCAGGGAAGCTATACCCATGAAGTCTGACAGACAAGAATGCTTAAACATGACATGATCAATAAACCTGTCAACAGAAATAGAAACATGGAAGGGAGAAAGCTCAGAGGCCTTAATCCAAGGAAAAAGAACTGCAGACAACTAAGGAATGCAATAAGAGCAGGAAGAATAGTCTTCCCCAGGGAAGACCATATCACACAGATAGATTATCCAATATCAAATGGTCAGCCCTGAAGCCATAGACACACAAGTGACTATACAGGCTGATCATGTTGGATTTAAATGTTAATTGTAACAACAACTAAAGACAAAGAGGATATGAGTTTGAATTAGAATAAAGGAGTTATTTAAAGAGTTAAGAAAGTGGAAAGGGAAGGAAGGTATAATTATATGGTGGTCTCAAAAAATACAAAAATAAAAATTCCTTTATTCTTAGGTAATATAATCTTAGCAGCTGTCTTACTGCACAAGATAATAAATAAGAACCTTGTATGTATGTAGAGCCACATAAATCTTATTTATGTACCTACAGCAGTATTCTGTAGTATGACTACACGCTCTTCATTTCTCCTAATAACACACAATTCAGTTTCACTTTTTCTTCATTACCAAAACAATGCAATAATAAGAATTTACTGTAATTCCTTTTAAACACATGTATCAAAATAGAACCTTTGGATTAAAGAATGTACAAAATTAGTTTATTAGCTTTGACTTAGTTGCTTATCAAAGCAGTTCTACTATTTGGATATTCCCTACAGTGATGTGTGAAAGCAACAATGCTGTATATATTACTAGAGATTTCTTTCAGTCAGATGAGCATAAGCATACACATTCAGTTACCAAGAGGGTTGAATCTCTTACTTCTGTTTGCCTAATTCTCATCAGAAATCTATAGGTGATTTTTTTTGTTGCTCTTGAGTCAAAAATTAATCAGGTCATTTTATTACAGTTACATTCTATTACACTAAATTATTTATATGCATTAACATGACAGCAAATTACATCATATTATAGTGTCTTGGTGCTTACAGAGGCTCAAGGTGGCATCCATGCAGCCCGGTCATACCATTGCTGTTATGTTATCTATCATATGTTATTACTTTTTTCTTAACAGCGTATAAGTGTGTTTTGTTTTATGATGGCTAAAGGACACTCTATCCTCTTCATCATAATCTAAGTATCAAAGAGAGAAAACTATATTAATACTACTTTGAGATTATATAATGAATTTTGAGTGAATTGAAAGAGAAAAAATGATTGAATGACTGCCACTAAATTATATGTAAAAAAAAGGAAACTTATGATATCTGGCATTTTTTTCATTTTTCTTGTGAAAAGGTCATATTTATTCATGATCTAGTTTTTCTATTATTTCCTGTTTTGTAACTTGAAGGGCCTCTTCTTCTTTGTGACTAATAGATTTCACTCCACTCCCATCTGTCAACAACAGACAAACACACTAGCTATTCATTTAAAGTAAAAGGTTTTACAGAATGCAGCATCAGCCACTTGAAATAATTTATTCCATTTCAAGACTCCAGTGCAAATAAATTGAAGAAAAATAGGTCAAGCAATGTGAATGATGAATTTGACTGAGGTGGCTTCAGGAGAGATATCATTCATCGCTACTCCTCCATTCTGGAGGAAAGATACCCAGTGTGAAAGCCTCATCTAATATGGACTTATCTCTACAAAGAGACTTCTGTAATAACCTTCTGTAATAACCTCTGCATCTGTTCATGAATTAAGTGAATAAATTTATAGAAATTGTTGCCAAATGAACATAAATTAATCATTATCACTAGAGATATGGATTTTTACTTATAAGTAAGAGAGAAACTTGATGTCTAAGTGTATTACTTCTTTGCTGGTTCAGATCATACTTTAATTTTTCCCATTACTTTCATTTATTTCTTTGTGTGTATGTGTCTGTGTGGGTGCGCGTGCACACGTGCACATGGTGTACATGTAGAAGTGGTAGGTCAAACCTGTAGGATTTGGTTCTCTCCATTCACTGTATTATGGTTGACTGTCTCTGTCAGTCCAAAACACATTCTTTTTTATGTGTCTTTTGACTTTCTTCCTCCTCTACGTAGCTTGGTATTTGGAATGGTTTCTGTTCAATGAAAAATGATTTTCCACTGATGCTCCCTGAACACTTGAAACACACAATTATTTTATCTGTGAACCAATCACAATGCTTTTAATTATAAGCACTGTGGAAAGCAAGGACTTTATTTTCAAAAGTAACACTAACTATAGGATATCTAGTATTGTTACAAAACACATGAGTGACTTCTTAAAGAAATTTGAGAAAGTTAGAATAGCTATTAGACATAATAAGTGAAGAGCTTTAAAATGTGAGATTAATTCCATCAACAGATGAGGGAACTTTGTACAAACAGATGTACACATCAGAAATATAGGTAGTTCTGTGCACAGAAGATTTTACAAGTGAACTATGTGTCAAGTGATATTAGCACTATATTTAGTTGCTACTGAGATTGCAGAAACTGTTTTTCATATATGCAATTATTTCCCAATATCCTGCGTGCTTTTAGAATTACGTCTTGCTGAGAATGACATTAAGTCTAAAATGAGAATAGCTTAAAAACCACAGGTGCCTAACTCTTTTTTTGGTTAAATGCAAACTAATTTTCAGCACTCCCTTATTAATAAGATATCTACACAATTGTACAGACATGTCTGTGGCCCATCTTGACCATGTGCCTTTTCTACATTCCATGTAAGATACTTGCTTACTAATGCTAATTTTCCATGTAGCTTCCAAAAGCAAAAGTGAGTACAGGTCTATTAATTCATTCTGGGTATTGCATTATGACAACTTCACTTCTCTTTTGTCTAACACATACCCTATGCCACATTTTCTTATGAATGGAGTTAAGAAGTACATACTTTCATCTAGACCATCATGTCTTGTCTACATACAACATAATCTTTTTAAATTTAGTTCTGAAGATGTGAAGGGTGAATATTTCAGGAATTCTGTCAGCCTTTGTCACAATGATCATTAGCCTTCCACAGTCATGACGATATTCAGAGCATAGAAAGAGATGAGAAAATGGAACATGTTGCTGTTGATACGGCAAAAATTTTAATTTACTGATAAAGGTGTATCATTTAATAATATACCTAAGTGCCTTTATTACTCTAATTTCACAACAGATTATTGATACTTTTCCAGGACATGATTTAGACACACATTTGCCACAATGTGAGGTATACTTTTAGATCAAAGTTTCTCCACACATTTAAAAATAAGCACTATAATTTCCCAAGGATATCAGGTAAAAACAAACTGCATATATGCCTATCACACTGCTAAGGATGGAATTGCACAGTTGCATTTGAGTAGGAAATCCTTCACACCAGTATATTCAGCTATGGAGTCCACTTTGTATCTGGCTGGTGGATTCATGAGTTCAAGAGAAGGTTGGGACCAAGGAGAGCCCAGTACTATATTGAGCATAATGCTCTAGAATCTAGTCTATACATGGGAAACACTGAGAACAGATTCCAAACTTGGCCGATCAGAGCATCATACATAAAGGTTTTGAGTGTCCTTAGACTGGAATACTATCTAGAAATATTCTTATGCAGGTGAGAAATTCTTGGTCACTTGATGATGAATAGAATGAGGACAAAAAGTAGGAAAAACTAAGTCTTGCCACAGTAGGAAAGAAAGCACAAACAGCAGTGCATATCAAGCCCTACCATAAAGAGCAAACAAAAACAACATTACTGATTTTAGAAACTGTCCCTTGGGTATTGAGTTGTAAACTAAAAAACTTTTTTAGCTAAGAAATTGTGTAAAGACCTGAATTACTACATATATCTGCTACCAAGTGGCCCAGAAAACAAACCATTTGAGTTTGAACCAAAGATGGCAATGGGAGCTAATACAAGGATATAGGAATTAAAATCATAGGACACCAGCCAAAGGACATTCTTCTGTTATCAAAGTAGTCTGAGTTAGAAGTTAGAAATTCAGAATGCAGGTAAACAGGAATTGAGAAGAAGACCAAGTGAAGGGAAAGAGAGTTAGAGAGTGTACAAATTTGAAAATACATACACTATTCATGGGTTCTTGTGTTGACCTTTGAACTTTCATTTTTGTACTTGAAATGTGTCAAAATAAAAAGTTGATGTAAAATCACAGAAATATAAAAATAGTTAATTTCTCCCCTATGCTAACCACTATTCTAGGGGCTGGGGCTATAAGGAATAGAAGCAAGGCAGATGGGTGAGGGAAAGAAGAAAGTACAGACACACAGACAACAGAGCACAATCAAGTGAGGTTCTACTACTGCTGAAACTCTCAACCTCAGTGCGTTTCTTATCCCCCCTCACTCCACCCACACCAGTGGGTGTGGGCAGCTAGTGTAGTGGGGACCCTATCCCAGCACTCTGTCCCAGGCTGTAAACATCCAGGAAGAGAAAACTGCAGTTGCTAGTCTTTGCACATGTGGATCAGTATTTCATAAACACTCATCCTCAATTCCTGAGAACAGCTTTGCCATTCCCCTTGAGCCTGGCTCACATGGATGACACACTTGACAATTTCTCATGGGTCAGAGGCCCTAGCATCCTTGACAATACTGTTCTCATGTCAACAGCACACAGTTTAGTATTCAGAATTCACGCACTCGGGACCTTTACACTCTTCAAAGCTCTCTGACTTCATTTGCAAATCCTTTACAATAAAGAGAATTTTATTTGAAAATTCTGGGACAACAAATGCCACCTGTTCCTCTCTTCAGCCCCTCTTCTCTTTTTTCCCTACCTCTGCATCCAGGAGACTGACACCAGGATGGCTTTAGTGGATTCCCTTTGCCTTCTGGTGCTGGTTGGCTTCGACCAATGAGAGAGCAAGCCTGAGGAACCGAGGTGGAAGAACACGAAAAGACGGTGCTTAGTTTTCCAGGTTCCTCTGGGGAGGGACAACCTAGTGGAGCAGGTTGCTCTTCAGTAGTCCACATGTTATACCAGCTGCCATCACCCTAAAGCTCCACGTGAGTTCTGATATCTGCTCTCTCCTCTTCTCCCTCTGGTTCTGGTGGGACAAATGACAATTTATCTACCTCAGAAATGAAGGTCTCACTCAATGGAACCTATGCTTACCTTATACAGGAGATGGGACTTGATAGATGTGATTATAGTAAAAAAAAACTTGAGTTGATGTTATCCTGAGTCAGTGTGCTGTGTCCTCAACAAGATAGGGGGTCAAATACATACAGACAATAAACAGAGAGATTAAAATGACTTGGTGTGAAGGTATGTTTCCTGAAAAAAGCCACGAGGTAGGTTCTTTTTTTAGAACCTCCAGAGGAAATGTTGTTTTTCTGGTACATTGACTTTAACATAGTGAAGTTTATTGGAGACTCCTGCCTCCAGATCTATAAACTAACAGATTCTGTAGGTGATAAATGTGTATATGTTTAGTACTAAGCTTGTAGTAATATGTTTCTGTGTTGTTGGGGCATCCATACACAAGCCCAGGAAGTAAATGAAGTTACTTTCCTAGTGCAGGGAGATGCATTACTCCTGGTAGCTAGCTTGGACTTGGTCCATGTTCTACAAGTAGTTCTTAAGCTATCCTCCATCCCCCACTTTGTTTGAGTGTGTCATAGGTCTATATTTGGTGTAATTATGAACTTTTGCTTTATTTCATTTTTTGAATTGGGGTTACAATTAACAGCACCCCTGCCCCCTGATACACACACACCATGGAAGTGAAGGTAGATTTGTTAGTGGACTGAGCACAGTTTTCTCAAGTAGTATAGTAACATATCTCTTAGCTGGGTTGCTTTCCTTCCTCTATGTTACTGGTTTCCACACATTTTGTTACTTGTTGCAGGTGAGTGATCAATCTGAAGTGAATAAAGATGTCATCAGCATACACTGGTATGAAGTTCAATTCACAAAATTAGATTATGGTTAACATTCTCTACGCATACCTGAAAGATTTATGATGAGGATGTGAGAAGGGCATTATGTCTTCCCTTGAGTAAGAACTGTGGGCTAAGCAATATTTTTCATGTGCCAACATGCTATTCCTTCCACATGGGATGGGGTTCTTTGTGGTTGTCTGTAGGAGTTTCACACACTGTTGAGATTTTAAATTTCTGTTTGCTTTTGCTATCCAATTTCTATTTGTCATTTCTATCCAGCAGCCATCTATAACCCACAAACTGAATAAACCAGGCCATGAATGTGTTCATAGCCTATGTTTCTTTCTCTTTGCTAATCAGATATGGGCATTGTCTGTCTCCCACCACTCAACTGTCAGTTCTTTGAGGGCAAAACCACGCATACGATATTTGTGTGGTTTTACTTTTTAAAGACAAGGTTTTTCTGTGTAGATTTGGAACCTGTTTTAGAACTTGCTCTTTAGACCAAGCTGGCCTCGAACTCACAGAGATCTACCTGACTTTGCTGGGACTAAAGGTGTGTGCCACTTATTGGCCATATCCATGTTCTTAACATATAGGAACATTTAGAAGAGCCCAAGAAACTAGTGAAATTTCAGTGGGTCCTTTGAAGTCCTGTACTAGCGGTGGGTTTGTACACTCTACAAAGTAATTTGACCAACAAATATAGCACACATCTAATCATCTAATGTTAAATCTACATGGTTATTGTATGAAATCAATGTGTCATTAATATTTATGCATTCAGGACTTGTTAAAATTAGTATCATTTTAACGGTCTCAATGCCATTATTAAAGACTATAGGTCAAAAATAATGCAAGGGAAATGCCATGATGTAAAAACAGTTAAGTTGAACAGCCAGACATCAGAATCCAATAAAAATTCCACACAAAACCAAAAAAATCTGTAGACCCTGAGAGACTTTCCTTCTGCTGTCTAAAGTTAATGTGCATAATTTAATACTTCATAGCCTCTGTGCAAATTTAGTTCTTCATGTTAGTAAGCTAATAAGTTGTAAGGTTAAATAACTTGCATCGATTTCCTATTGGAAGCAAATAGGTCAAAGATCGGAGTGCATATTACTTAGTAGATGTGATTTCTTAAGTTATGGGGTCCTGCTTTCAACAAGAATTCTATTGCTATGTTTCCCCTTCCTTTCATGCTGATGGATATTAAATAGTACATCAACTTCATGTGAGTAAGGAAGACAGAGGGTATGATGGAGCTGGAAAAACATAGTTATCTAAGCCTATAGTACAGTTCTGACATGCCACTAGCAGGAAACCTTGCTTATTTTAGAAGATGTAGCCGGGCGGTGGTGGCACAAGCCTTTAATCCCAGCACTCGGGAGGCAAAGACAGGCGGATCGCTGTGAGTTCGAGGCTGGGCTGGACCGACAGCCTCCAAAACAATACAGAGAAACCCTGTCTTGTAAAAACCAAAAAAAAAAAAAAAAAAAAGAAGACGTACTGTGTTCATCCTTAACATGAATGAAACATTTGATGAGTAGGGAAAGAACACTACAAGGCTGCAGAATGTACAACCTCCTGTTTAGGAAGGGACTATCAATGACCCACTAAAAGGCTCACTAATACCTTAGCTCTCTCAAGACACACACTGACATCTCTCCATTTACTGATTCACTTAGGAAGCTTTTTATAAACAGGGTACATCTACTAAAGTAAGGGGAGGGGATAACAGATTTCCCCCTAATGTGAAGTTCTAGGCCTAGCAAAGTCTGAAAATTACACCCACATTTGAACAATGACAGGATACAATGAGAGTATTGTAGTTACTCTGTATAGACAGGATGACAAAGAGGACTGTCAGGATATAAAGTTCATTTAGAAACTGCAATATATTTTTGAAAAATTTAGATAGTGGGATACAGTCAGAATCCAAACTTATAAAACTGCAAAGTTAGATTTAATGAGTGCTTATCTTTTGGGGTGCTGGGGGAATTGTATAAATTATTAAATTATCCAATTTCATCTCCCACTGATTGTCACCAGCATAGATGGGATAACTGTCAGGCATCATCATTTGCAATCTTGTTACTTTTTTTCTTTTGTCTCTTTTATTTTCTTTACTGGAAAAAATGCTGGTGCTAGGGCTTTTAAAGTATCCATGGAATTTTAATTGGAGGCAGAATAGAAAGTTCTTGAAATAATCTTATAATATTGCCAAGGCTCAGATACAATGGTCAACTCTGTGACCTAAAATGCGATTTAAATAACTGAAGGGAAAGGCAAGCAAAGCAGTCACATCCATTTACATGTAACCACATTCAAAGAGACAAAGGGGTTCAAGGCCAATTCCTCAGTTCTTAAAAACAGATAACACAAAAAGCTTCATAAATGGTTGAGTTTAGGTCTACTTACATGGTATGTGCCTTCTCAGAATGTATCTACAGACAGGTCCAAAATAAAAGGCCACAAGTAAGAAGCAAGAGATAGGGAAGAATGAGAAGCAAGCCCAGTGACTGTCCAGGGGTATGACAGTGTTAGCAGCCAAATGTCTGTCACATGAGTCTTTCCATGAAGACCTTAGGAATTTAGTACCTCTCATTTATTTATTGTTGATGATGACCTCAATTTCAGTATCTCTCATCTTTTTGTACACTTTAAACAGTTTTGTTGAAATATAAAACAATTTACAGAAAGTGTAAAATTAAAATGTCTTTGTATCATGCATCACTAAATTGCGATCAGATATAGAAACACAAAGTTTGCCACTTGAAGCACTCTAAGCACACAATCCAGTGGCATTAATTACATCTGCTTTTTTATACAATTTAAATTCCTTAATCATCCCATAAAGGAACTCTGTATGTATGAATTATTTACTCTTACTCCTCATTCTATCTTCCTTCATTATCTGGCAACCTCCTGTCAACTTTCTATCTCTCTGAATTTGTTGATTTTGGTTTATTTTACCCAGTATTGTGGTTCAGGGTACATCCTATCATACTGATCAGAATTTCGTTCCTTTTCATAGGTGTGTAATATCCTTTTGTATGTATAAACTATGTGTGCTTTTCCCAGTCACATGGTGATGGACACTGGTTAGCTTTTATTTTTCTGCTTATTGTGAATAATATTGCTATGAACATTTACATACAAGACATTTTCTTCTGAAAAAAATTATTTTCATCCAATATATTCTGGTTATACTTGTCCCTCCTAAATCCTCCCAGGTACTCCACACTTCTCTCCCCCACCTAACTCTATTCATTTGCTTTCTCTCTGTCTTTAACAAATAAACAAAACACAAACAGAACACAAAGATAAGAAACACATACAGACACACATATAAAAACACAAAATCTGAAGATAAAAGACACAAGCAAAATACCTATGAGACAAAAAAAAAGTCAAGCAAAGCTATATGAGACAAAACAGCTACAAAAATACCATTGAGTTCACTTTGTATTGGACAACTACTCCCAGAAATGAGGCCTACCCAGAAGTGTGGTTAATATACACAGTGAGACTCCATTAGAGATGACTACTTCCTCCTTTGCAAAAAGGTACCAATTGCAGATAGCTTCTTGGTTAATAGTGAAGGCACTTGTCTACTCCCGTCTCTCAGTGTGAGGATCCCATTTGCCTTGAACTGCACAGGTCCTGTGTCTGATGTCATAGTCTCTTTGCATTTGTATGTGCATTAGTCCTCTTGTGTCTGGAGAACACTGTTTCCTTGGATAGATCCCTTAACCCTAATGGAATAAGATTGATGAAGAAATTTCATTTAGGACTAATATAATATCTCTCAGTCTCTTGCACATGGTCTAGTTGTGGGTCTCTGTGTTGGTTACCATCTTCTGCACGAGTAAATCCATAGCCTCAACAGAACAGAAATTACGAGATTATTTTTCTCCAAGAATACCAAAGAAGCCACAGACAGAAAAAAATTCCCAACACTATACCTCCATAGCATTCTATTTTCTAAGATTGACTTCTCTAGAATAAATCCTTGACTATAACCTCACCTTTTGTATTCATGGATGACAAACAGTTTGCAGTGCCTAGTAACACTACAGAGGAGTGATGTAAAATAGAAATCTGTATCTGGGTATTCA